AAATAATGATTACAGCCAGAAACTCAAGGCCTGGGCAAAGTTGCTCATGTTTGGAATCCCAGCCCTTTGGGAGGCCTAGATGGGAGGATCACTTGAGGACAGGCGTTTGAGACCAGACTGGGAAACAATGTAATATCTTGTCTCTGAAAAAAATGAAATAAAATAAGCTTGGCATGGTGTCACATGCCTTTAATCTTAGCTATTCAGAGGCTGAGCCTGGAGGACGGCTTGAACCCAGGAGTTCAAGGTTATAGTAAGCTATAACATCACTGCATTCCAGCTCGGTGACAGAATGAGACCCTGTCTCAAAAAAACAAACAAACAAAAAGCCAGACTTCAGGATTTCCACACACTTTGCCAAATCCCATACAAACTGCATGCAAATTTGGAGCGTGTGCATTTTCTAAAAATAAAATTCATGGATCCTATCAGGCATTCTCAAATATTAAGGACCAGAGCCTAAGAAAACTAAGAAATTAGAGCAAGAAATATTTCCTAAAGTCAATGAGAACTATCATATATTTTAGGGAAGCTTTTTATAAGATACAAACCAAAGGTCTATGTTTTAAAATTTACTGATTTATTTATAGATTTATTCAATAAATATATATTTGGTGACTAGTATGCATGCTATGGTAGAATATCGAGATATAACTAGTATTCTAACCCAAACCCTAACTTACCTACTTTAGTCTTTTTATCCTAACTCTCCCCTGACAGTTCTTACTGTGTAACGGGTTAGCTATATTAGTAAGTGTGGCAACACATCACGGTGTAAGAAGTGTCGTAAGAGGAAATCAAGGCCCAATGGGAATATCTTGGAAGTGCAGCTAATGTAGACTTCCACAAGAAGGCTAAACCTTAGATGATTCAAGAAAGATAAAAAGAACCTAAACCATAAAATAGAAGAAAGAAGGCAATTTATTTGAACAGAGAAAATTGCAAGTGCAAAGATGATAGAATATGTTATAATAAAAGCACAAAGGCAAAGATTTAGTATGATTTCAACATATTTTGTGTGGAGGGAGAAATTAGAAATGACATGGAATCAGTAAGCAGATAATACATTATAAAGGGTCTGTCATGTTTTTGAATTTAAATTTATTTTGTTTTATATTTCTAATAGAATCAGGAGAAAAGCTGAAAATCCCTAGTTTCTGTTTGAATGTTTTAAGACATTCAAATAGAATGTCTTAAATTCAAATAGAATGTCTTAAAACTTTCAAACAGAAACTAGGGATTTTTCTTTTTTCTTTTAATTATAAAACAGTCATTCAATAGAAAATATATGCATTCTAAAATTTTATACATTTTGCTTTAAGATATTTGATTGATTTATTATAATTTTTACAGGTATTTCTCTTTTTATTGACACATAATTATAATATGTCTTTGTCATAATAATTGTTTTTAAATTATCAGTTAATATTTTGTCCACATTTATTTTATATAAAAATAAACATAATTGTTCCTGAAACTATAATCTTATACAATTTAAATGTTGAATAAATGAAAAATGTTCTCAAACTGGAACGTTATAATAACTTAGGCTGAAGCACTCCTGCGAGATTCAAGGCTTGAAATGGTTCTTTGAGAATAAATGACACCTCAATCTTAAAAATATAACTTTATTTACAAATCATAAAACATTAATTGCTGTTTATCATATTTGTTTTTAATTTTTTTCCTGACATAGAAAAAATATTATCAGCTACCTCAGTTTTATCATAGACCAATCTAATTACCACATAAGATTTACACTCTGCTTTGTTAATTACAGGCAAAACCTATATTTTAATGTTTTTGAGAGTTTAATTTGCACTTAAACCACAACACTTTATCTTATTCATTTAGAGTTGCAGCTCTTTAAATATTGAATCTATTATAATATTGCAGAATCGATCACCACACTAAGAAAATTACATTCCCAGTCTCTTCCACTTTCAAAGCACTTGTATCTGCAGAAACTGTAAATGAGGGCCAAGCCCTTGTTTTACCATAAGCTTTCCTCTGTTGCAACAAGACTGAGATATGTATGAGAATAGGGATACAGAAGATATCAATATATATTTTCAAAGAGTGCATCAATGAGTGAATAAATAAATTAGGATAATTTGATTAAGGATAGCCATCAAATATGTCTAACACTGATACTCAGAATTATAAAAATAACAACCACCAAAGTAAAACCCTAAGCCTGTAGGTCGTAGATCTCATGTTAATTAGTTTACCACATATCAGGATCTGACCTTCCTCTTCAAAGACACTGATGCTGCTTCTTGTCAAATTCTGAGTGGCTGACTCATGCTTAAAACACACATAAAATGCAGTCTTACAGTATGATAAATAAATAAAATATATCATAGATAATAATAATTGTTTGTAATCATAGATTGTCTTCCTCTGATTAATCTATATGAGAAGACAAATTATAATCAGAAATAGGTTGAAAGTATAAAGGGAGAAGGTCAAGCTACTAAAGACAAGGAGCCAGGGTTCCCTGATGGGAGGCAGAACCATATAGAGGACAGGTAATGGTGTAGATGTCATCCACAGCAGAGGCAAAGAAGGAGGAACAATCTACTGTTGCTCTCTGGGCACCTGTCATTTTTGTAAAATGACAATAGAGGGCATATAAAAGCATATTTTTTTACCTGGTTTCTTTGCAAGATGTAAATTCGTTTGTTAGTGTAGGAGAAATAGAATCAGTGGCAAACTGCTCCTAGATTATTTTCTTTCTACCACCAAGGGCTTCTTATTTGGTCTTTGTAGATAATCTTCTTCTTATCCAGAAGTTGATCATTGACTGAAAAGTACAGAGGTTAAAATGTAGGTTCTGATTCAAAGACCTGTATCAGTGTATTACTTTCCTAATCCTGCTGTGGCGAATTATCACAAATGTAGTGTCTTTCCATCACACATATTTTATGTTAGTCTATAGATCAGAACTGTGACACAGATCTCACTGGGTTGAAACTGTCCACAAGCTACTGACCCTCTCTTAGGGAGAATCTGTTTCCTTCCCTTGTCTAGCTTCCAGAGGCCACTCACATTCCCTGGCTCATGCCTGTCCCCTTCTTCCATCTTCAAACCCAGAGATATTAATACTAGGTTGATTCCTGTTCACATGGCATCATTCTGACCTCTTCTTCTGCCTCTCTCTTCCAGATTTTAGGCCTGCTCCAATAATCTAGGATAATTTCCCTATTTTAAGGTCAGCTAATTGGGAATCTTAATTCTATTGGCAACCTTGATTGTTTTTGCCAACATAACTTTGAAAATTCACAAATCCTAGGGATTAAAATGTAGATGTTTTTGAGGGACCATTAGTTTGTTGATCACAATCACATCCTGAACTCCAAACTTAGATCAGCATACTGCCTCTCCAGCTCTTAGAATCTGTCCATAGTATTATAACTTTGAAAGCTTCAGTTTTCTAATTTACAAAGTGGGGATAATCATCCTGACTTTTCAGGTTTGTTGTTAGGAAATAATGTGGCCATGTACCTTAAATTTCATATAGAAATAAACAAACAAGAAGTAGTCAATAGCCAGAGGCATCACACTACCTGATTTCAAACTATACTACAAGGCTACAGCAATCAAAACAGCATGCTACTCCTACCAAAACAGAGATATAGACCAATGGAACAGAATAGAGGCCCTGGAGGCAATGCTACACATGACAACAATCTAATCTTTGACAAACCTCACAAAAACAAGCAATGGGGGAAGGATTCCCTTTCTCCCATGTGCAGAAAGCAGAAACTGGACCCCTTCCTTATACCTTACACTAAAAGTAACTCCAGATGGATTAAAGACTTAAACATAAGACCTATCACCATAAAAACCCTAGAAGAAAACCTAGACAAAACCATTCAGGACATAGGCACAGGCAAGGGCTTCATGACTAAAACACCAAAAGCACTAGTAACAAAAGCCAAAATAGACAAATGGGACCTAATTAAACTGGAGAGCTTGTGCACAGCAAAAGAAACAATCATTAGAGCGAACTGGCAACCAACAGAATGGGAAAAAATTTTGCCAGCTACCCTTCTGACAAAGGACCAATATCTGGACTCTACAAAGAACTAAAGCAGATTTACAAGGAAAAAAAAAAAAACAACCCATCCAAAAGTGGGTGAAGGATATGAACAGACACTTTACAAAAGAAGACATATATGAGGACAACAAACATATGAAAAAATGCTCATCATCACTGATTATTAGAGAAATGCAAATCAAAACCACACTGAGATACCACCCCACGCCAGTTAGAATGGCGATAATTAAACAAATCTGGAGACAACGGATGCTGGAGAGGATGTGGAGAAATAGGAACACTTTTAAACTGTTGGTAGCAGTGTAAACTACTTCAACCATTGTGGAAGACAGTGTGGTGCTTTCTCAATGACCTAGAAATAGAAATTCCACTTGATCCAGCAATTCCATTACTGGATATATACCCAAAGGATTAGAAATCATTCTGCTATAAAGACACATGCACACGTATGTTCATAGTGGCACTGTTTACAATAGCAAAGACCTGGAACCAACCCAAATGTCCATCAACGATAGACTGGACAAGGAAAATGTGGCACATATATACCATGGAATACTATGCAGCCATAAAAAATGATGAGTTCCTGTCCTTTGGAGGGACATGAATGAATCTGGAAACCATCATTCTCAGCAAACTGACACAAGAACAGAGAATCAAACACTGCATGTTCTTACTCATAGGTGGGTGTTGAACAATGATAACACATGGATATAGGGAGGGGAGCATCACACAATGGGGCCTGTTAGGGGGGCCAAGGGAGGGAAAGTGGGGAGGGGAGAGGTCAGGGAGGGATAACATTGGGAGAAATGCCAGATGTAGGTGACAGGGGGATGGAGGCAGCAAACCGCATTGCCATGTGTGTACCTATGCAACAATCTTGCACGATCTGCACATGTACCCCAGAACCTAAAGTACAATTAAAAAAAAAGAAAGAGTCAATAAATGTTTTTTTATTTCTGACAAATACAGCTAGAGGAATGGGACAAATCACTAAAAATGTACATATTTTTATCTGTTCCTCCTAAATTTTCTTGTTCATTGACTATAGTTAGTGTAAAGGTAATTGGGAAATGTTTAAATATAATTTGAAGGGACAATAAGATCATTGTTATATTTTAGTACTGTCACTGTAATTAATAATCATAAAAGTCAATTATCCCTACTACTGCTGCAGAGCTTGACACAGCATGGATGGGCCCAAAAAATGCTAATCACTGTCCAGACAGACTCTGTGGACATTTTAAGAATGCCAGCACCACCCTGGCATCTGCCACGGAAGCAGATGCTATTTGCATCTGTTTTCCATGATAATCACCAATGATGGCAGGAAAAAAATCTACATTTTAAGACAATCTGTTCAAATATTCAAGAACATATTTGGCTTGTCAAGGCACCTTTTAAAAGTTGTTGTAAGCGATGAGATTTATAGGAAATATAAATTATTTAGCTACCAATACATTTTTTTTCTGAGTTTATTTGTGAATAAATATGTTGAGTATGGTTTGTAATCAATTGCTGTAGTTGATTTCCAACACAGTTTTTAAGAGAGAGAAAGGACATTATTTTTCTTTTATTTTAAAACTTACATTAGAAATATTGACTGAATTTGCCATGTACTGTGAATTTGAAACGTACTGTTTTCATAAGTTTATACATGTGAGTGTATATGTATACATCTCTCTCTCTTAGAAAAGTTTTCTTATTTTTATAACAAAAGAAGATTATAAGTAGAAATTCAATACTACGTACTGTCTTGTAAATTTAATCCATCAATTAATATGTATTTTATTATATGTATTACACCAACATTTTCACTATTTTAGAAAATAAATAAAATATATTATCTTGTAGAAGAGAAACAATTGTTAAACTACGCAGTACTACAAATCTTGTTTCTTTGACTTCTCAAGGTATGAAAAAAATAAAAGAAAATCAAAAACAAAGGCAAGGACATGCTTAGGTTACATAAGGCAGCTTCTCTGATCACAAACACAGAGTAAGTTGATCCTTCTGGGCATAGTCAAGGGAAGTTCCTTTCCTTGGAGCTTTTGGAAACGTGATCCTATGAGCCCTGGATTGTCACAGTCCATGCTAACTGCTTGCTAGTTAGTACCCACCCTGCTGTGACCCTAAGGTCGCCTGTTACTCGGGAAGGGGTGGGGCTGTGGCGGGGGAGGGGGGAAAAGAGCAAGTAGGAGCCTCGGAACGGGTTGAGATGGAGAGAATCTGCCTTCTAGGAAGGAAATGGGAGCGGGGGTAACCAGGAACAGCAGGTGTGCCGACCTCCTCCTTCTACAAGCGCTCTGGGGCAAAGCGCATGGCTGGCAGTGGTGCGCCAGCTGCAGTTCCCCGCGCGCCCGGAAGCGCGGGAGGAGCCCTAGGCCCGCGTTTGGCCGCCTTCCCGCCGGTGCTCCGGGCCAGTGGTCTGGTGGAAGTCGCGGGGTCGCCCAAGCGCCCTTTCGCTCCGTTCCACTGGGGAAGCCGCCATGGCTGAGCGGAAAACACTTGTTTCCGGACACCGAGAGGAGTGCCCTCTGGCCGCGCGCTTTTCTACCTAGGAATTGGTGACGAGGGCCGAGGGCCGAGGGCCGCCGAGCTGGGAGAGGGTGCGCAGAGGCTGGGGCGCCGGAGCTCCACTCCGTTGCTGCTCCGGGCTTAGTCCAGTCCCGGGCCAATCGAAAGGGACAGCAGAGGGCAAGTCCTTTCCGCAACGTTTTGAGTGGGAACCGATTGCACGGGGAAAGGGTAACAGTTCTTGGTAGAAAATCTCCCACGAACGATTCGGCCTTTGTCAGTGTCGTTCCTGCTTTTGGAAAGCGCGTCAATGGGTCAGTGCTGATCCAGATCTGAGTGTTGTTCCTAGGGATTGGATGTGAGTGGGGGCGCGTGGCTGACCCTGCGGGGTACGGCGGGGTCAACTCTGCCAAGGAGTACCCTCTCTGCCCACCGTGTGAAGGGCGCCTTGCGGGGCTGGCCATGGAGCCTGAGAGAATCTGATAATGATCCTGAATAACCAACCACTCACCCGCCTCCTGAGCCCACCGGCACCCCAGGCTCGGGGCTAGAAGCGGGTTCTCGCCGCGCGCCGTCCGCGGTTGCGCTGGTTGCGTCGGCATTTGCATCTCGGTTTCCGTCCCCGCCGGCTCCGCACCCATTCTGAGTCAGGAATACGACCGAAGATTTACGACTATGCTTCCGTGAGCTGGCCAGGAGTGATGTTCCCTGAAGTCATGCCCTCCCAGAAAGTCTCTAAAATCAAGGACGTGGGAAGTGGGGTTTTGGGTGGCGGGTTGTGGTGGCGGAATACAGGAAGTCCCAGCTGGCAGGGCCTTCTCTGCTCTCTTTGCTCTGAGGAAGCCCGCCCCCTCGACCCGAAAGCATTTTGGGAGAGTTCTCGGCTTGGAAGACAGGAGACCTAGTGAGAGCAAGGCGGGTAAGCGTCAACCAAAAAAATGAACTGTACCTCGATTTCTTAGAAACTTTCGCCGTAAACTTATTTCTATAAAGAAAACTAAAGTCAATTTATATTATTGACGCTTTTCCATAGCACTTTAATGTTTTACTTTCCATCCCCGCTCCCGACTTATTTTTGATGTTTCTGGGTGTATTCTAAGCAGAGCAAAAATGCTGTCACTGTTGCCAGTTTCCAAAGTTTCCAACGCCCTTTGGCAGCCCTTATTCAAGTTTGGTCAGACACTCCCAGTTCAGGACCAACATCAGAGGAAGCTCTAGAAGTAGCGCATTCGAGCCTGTAGGTGAATGGCCCTAGTTAGGAAGGAAAGGAGGTTACACAGGAGAGCCTACAGATACTCAGAGATACAGTAAGTTCTCTGAGTGATCAACCTTCCCAAAACACAAAAGCGTGCGCGCGCGCGCGCGCGCGCGCGCGCACACACACACACGCACGCACACACACACACACGCACACACACACACACACGCACGCACGCGCACGCACACACACACACACACACACACACACACACACACAGTGAAAGAGACAGACTCCTAGACCGCCGCTAGAGGGAGGGCCGCGAGGCGGTTGTGCAAAATGGAATGAATACAGATCCTGCTCTCTGGCGGAATTTGCGTTTATGTCACTTTAAAAATACTATTTTTATTTGACAAATCATAAGTGTTATATAGTTAAGGGATACATTCTGATGTTTTGATATTTGTATACAGTGTGAAATTATTAAACTGATGTCCCTTTTGAAAGGTTTCAAGTGACTAAACAAGGAGACCCTACCCTTGGTTAGGCTAGAACTAAACAAGGAAAAACATATAGCCGCAACTGCCTTTCACAACCACAGGTTTTTTTGGTCTTGAGATTCTCCATTCTGTTACCCCTTCTCTCCTTTGTACACAGCAAGTCTCAAGGTGCCTGGCACAGAACCTGAGCTCCTCGTAACTCAGACAATATTTTATGTGTACATATAACATACACATAATATACAGACGTATATCCTCAAAGGAATTGTAGGAAAGGACCACAGTAATGTGAATTGTTTTTTCTTCCAGCTGTGTTTGATTTTGTAGCTTTAATAGCTGATATACCATGCAAAAAAGGTAAAAATAAGTTGGAAACGTAATTGATCACTTTACACAGGAAAAAAAAAAAAAAAAAACAACACTGTCCATTATATTTCTGAGTTTTTGAATTTAATTATTCACTGCCAATCTGGAAATGGTTGCAGAATCCTCAGAAAATTCCACTTGTAGAAAGGTATTACTCTAAGAAATACAACTTCTTTGTGCAAAGGCTCTTAAAGTTACTAATGGGCGTCTAAGTATGCAAATTGCCTTAGAATACAGGGTAATGGTCATTGAAGACGTTCAAATACTTTTATCCATTGTGACTCTGAACTAGGAAGTAGACAGTGGGGCTTAAGAAAAGATTATTATCTTGATTGGAATTTCAAGACGGGAAAAGTCTAATCCCTTTCTTGTAAAAGACATCTGGGTGGATTTCAACTAACTTTGAGAAACGAATCAGAATAATGACTCAAACCTGAGCTAAAGAGAAAAGTGTTTTTGTTTTAAATAAAAACCAGGTGTTGCTCTCCTTAGTAACCCAATATTGGGTGCGCGCGCGCAGAGTGGCCAGACCCCTCTCCACGCAGCTGTGGCTCTGTTCAATTCGGCAAGTGTACTCACGGCAGAACTGCAACGGGTATAAAACGTCTTGACGATGGGCTCCAGGGTTTGACACTCCGCAGCGCCACCAGCTCTGTTTTCTTCCCAAGTGAGCCACTCTCTACCTCGCGAGCAGGAGATCGTCCTATGTGCGCTACAATCGTGGGGCGGGGAGATCTGGCGCTCACCCAACGAGCTCGGCTGGTGCTGACGTCCGTTCAGGCCTTTAAATGTCTCTGTCCCTGCGCAGGAGGAAACAGACTTTGTAGCAGTCACTTTGCCCGAAGGGAGACGCGTCTCTGCTTTTGCAGGCGGCAGTTCGGACTCCCCTCGCTCTTCCTAGCGCTGTGTTTTCCTCTGTCTTTGCCTCGAGTTCCCCGCAGCCTCTCCAGCTGGAGGCGGTTTTGGTATTCGCACCTCGGGCGTGAACCAACAGGACTTCCCTTGCCCTGTGCTGTTTCAGTGGGTTCGAAGATCAGAGATTGAGAGGTGCGCTCGGTGATCACTCAAGGAGCAGGGAGCTTGCTCCCCCTGATATTGGTAGGGGGTGATTTTTTTTTCCCCGAGCTGGTGAAAGCATCCTCCCGCTCCTAAAGCTGCAACTTGTTTTGGTTTCTTCTCAGTCCTGTGTATGGTTACAACATCAAAGTTTTTCTCCCTTACCCCTCCAAAAATCTATCATTTTAATCCACCCTCCTCCCCCCACGCCGTCTCCGCCAAGCCTTCTCGCTGTGCGGCGAGCGGATAGCGGGGCGCTCAGTGTGGCAGCGGCAGCGAAGATTGGCGCTATCAGGAGGAGCGAAAGGGAAGGATCTGCTGCTGGGGGCTTCCTGGGTGATCCTTTGCCAGGCGAAAGAGCTGGGGAAGGGCGCAGAAGAGGAGCCGGAACCTTCTGGGACCCTGGTGCTTGACACTGGATTTTGATCACCATCCTTGTTCTGTGTCTCTGTCCCCTTTTTCTCAATTGGTAACTAGTCGAGAGAGAAGCGCTTGGCACGAGCTTTCTGCGGGACCTAAGCTCCCTGGCTGCTCGGGATCCCTACGTCCGCTGCTGCGGAAGGACCAGAGGGGAGGACGCCAGCCGTTGCTTACTGGAGCCTGGAGGTAGGCAAGGAGGTGGGGTCCTGATTCTCAGTCCAGATTCCAAAAGGGTGTCTTGTTTCATGGAGACATCCTTCTCCCCCTCATTTGTCGTCGCACACCCCACCCCCGCTTTTCGGATTCAGGTTCAGGAATAACCAAATCCTTGGCAACCTCACAAGGTGGAAGTCCCTTTCACAGCTCATCACCTGGATGCCTTGCTCTTTACATATGTATGTTTGTGTTGGGGGAATGTGAGCTTCCCGGGGAAGTTGAAACCTTGCAGATTTTGAGAATGTCCAACTTGATTTTATTCAGTTTCTTAAAGGATGTGTTTCCTGTGGGCAAGAATTATGGGAAATAAATGTCAGTGACATACACAACTGCAGTAACAGCTCAGAAATCACCTTCATTTCCCCCCAAAAGTTTTCCCCATGCAAGTTTTCTGAATGTCCACATGTAGTGAATGGAGACTTGGCTTGTTCCATTATATGTAAACGGAGCGAGATGTGGGGGGGGGGGGTCACATCCTTTTAAATTTTGGAATATTAAAGACATTAGAATTTCTCTCTTCTATGTCTCTCATCACTATCTCTATCTCTTTTTCTGTCTCTCACCTTCCTACCATCCTTTCTTTCCTTATCTTGTCTTCCTTCTCCCTTCCCTCCCTCTCTTCCACCCACCTACCTTGCTTCCTTCCTTTTTTCCTTCCTTCCTCCCTTCCTTTCTTCGTTTCTTCTCTTTCTTTCTTTCCCTGCGCTGCTCATTAATAAATATAATGTGAATTTAAAGAGAATGGAACACTTTTGTAATTTACAAGGTTGAGAGAAGACTTCTTTCCTACCTTGCCTGAAGTTTTTATTTAAGTATCTGATCCTTTTTAGTTGTGAGGTAATTTGGAGTAAGACTGAACTAATATCTTGGGTGAAATTCAGCATGGTAAGATTTTGTGTATTGTGTGTTTAATTGATCCCTACTCTTACACATTAGCTAATAACTGGAGTTGCATGAATTGGTAGAAAAGGCCCTTGATTTTTGGCAAACAATATTTTGTGGGAAATGTTAAAAATCAGTACTACAATTTAGGTGGCAATAATATGGATTCACAGGTGAAAAAAGGGAAGGAAGTTCACCTTAAGAGAGTGGTTTAGTGAAAAATCAGTGCCTGGAATTTCATGTCTACATATGGTAATCAGCCAACTAAATGAACCAGTTAGTATTTGGATCTTGCAATATTTGGTTCCATAGAGAGACTATTGTACGTTTTATTTCTGGTCTCATTTGTGGGAATAGAATAATATTAGATGGTTTTATCCACTTTTTCACACATGTGTGCTGTGGATTTCATGATACCCTATAAAGCAGTGAGAGGCAAGGTCCAAGATCTGCCCTCAACATTACCATCTCATCTCTACAAGGATCCCTTTACATTAAACTGCAACTAGTGGAATCTGGAACTTGAACTGCTGCTACTGTTTTTTGCTTGCTTGCTTATTTTATTTATTTTTTATTTTCTCTCTCTTGCTTCTATACACTTGTGGCTTCCAGTCTGAACCAAAATCTCCCTCTGTGCAATGGCTCTTGTCACTCGTATTCTTCCTCACAGGGCAGCTCATGGTTGGGTTGCCCTGAATTAAAATAAATTAATCCCCTGATGGTATAGTTTATACAGTTACTGGGTATATATTGAGTGTTCCCAGGGTTCCTGCTGAGCCAGGTGTGTTGGAGGACCTGGAGAGTATAGGGAGACCAGAGTACCACCCAAGTGGTGAGAGTAGGACTAAATTAGGAAGATGGACTGTACTTAAGGAAAATTAGGACATTGTAGAAGAGGAGGACATAAAGCAAAAATCTGAGAGGGGTGTGTGTGTGTGTGTGTGTGTGTGTGTGTGTGTGTGTGTGTAGAAGCTGGATTATCTTTGGCAGGAATCAGCCTTATCTTAAATCTGCATGAGCAAGTTTATCTCAAAGGGCAGATTCTTTGCTTGGTAAATGCGATGAAAAGACTGGAGAATCCCAAGGGGGTAAAACAGCTCTCATTTGTAACTGTTGACTTTCAAATAAACTCTTTAGTTCCAGGCTCTAGAACAGTTTTTCCCAAATATCAGTGCCTGAAGATGCTAAACAATTGAGATTTATGACTCCTAACACACAAGATACTGGTTCAAGAGGATCCAAAATTAATTGCATATCTAACACCATGGGTGATTCCAATTCTCCTAGTTCAAGAAGTATTCCATGAAATTTACAGGCTTAGTGTGAATGAACTTCATCTTGTGAGGGAGGGTGTCATACTTGCTTGTTAATCTAAAAACTTTCCCTAGTATTTATCTTCTTGAAATTTTCTTGTTTTCTTCCATCAATGCCATTATTATTGCCATGTCTGTCGTAATAGAAGATGGATATTCTCAAATATCAAAATTTTACTATTTGTATATTTGCAGCCTTGGATGGTGGCCCTTTGAGATTTAAACCAGAAAACACTAATAGTGAGGTGATGGAAATGCTTCAGCATTATTAAAGCCTTAAGTTAAAAAAAGTCAGTATACTAATAGGTTTGGTTAGATGATAGCTTTAACTAAACATTATGATTATCATTTTCTCACTGGAGAGAGAAAAACTTTTTAAATTTATTCTTGCCTTTAATTTCATGTATTTATCTTTTTCCGTACTAATAATGCAAAGCAGTTCAGGTCACTTTCATGAAATTATACAAAAAGAAAGTAAATTTAACAGTGCCTTCAATAATTTTTTTTTTAGTAAATCTCTTCATTTCCATTAATAAAACTTCACAAAGGTAACATAAAAGTGAAAGAAATGATTGATGACATTCTGAACCCAATGGTGAGTTTGGTCATGTTATTGAGTCTATTTTTGAAAATAATATCTCCATGAAATTCCTAATTTTTTCCACTCTTTCCAGCCTAAAGATGTTGTCATTCATTACTATGATCTTCAATCTGTGTGATTTCCTTTGACACGATGATGTCAGAGTTCTTATTTCCTCCTTTTGTACTATTTTCATATATAGTGCTACTTTTACCGAACATGGTTTTGTGATCATAAGTATTCATTTTCTATTAATTCAAAAGTTTGCATAGTAACAGAACAGCATCATATATCAATAGACACAAAGGTTATTGTATATGCTTATTTTCTTTAAAAAATCACTTTAGTCTTCTGACATTTCCCAGTTGTCTTATGCTATATCAAAGTATTGGCTGGCTTCTATTTTAAACTATCCATATGTTGAAATTAAGAAAAAAAGCAGCTTGCATGCTTTAATGAAATGTCCTCTCTAATAATACATGGCATGAATAATGTGAATTATAAGCTTATTCTTGATTTTAATTTTTGTTTTTATTGAAACTCTAATAATCTCTTTAGATATTTGGTTGGTGTTAAACAAAACCTGGGAAGAAAATCATGAAACTAGTTTAAGTCTTGGAAAATAAACTTAACCTAAGAGAAGTTTGGTTTTGCTTCATGTTAATCCAAATCACAGGTGTTATCATTAATATATTGAGATTGACACATCGTACCAGAGCATCCAGAATTTCTGCCATAGTCCAAGGGCTTCTCCATAAAATAGTTACACCACTGATAGAAAACACAATCAATTTCTATGTAAAAAATATAAAGAATTTTGTTTTGCTGTTCTAGAATTTCTTTTCCTTCCACATTGCCCCTTCCCCCATGGGGTGAGAGAGAGAGTAGTCCACAGGATGGCACTATTATGATGCATAGTATGTTAAATAATTTTACCCTTGAGCCATCTTTAGCTACATTAATACTAATGAAAACATTGACTTTTCTCCATTGATAAATTTTCTGACACTTTTTTTTTTTCAAACCAATGGATATCTATTAGGTGTTAGTGCCCATTATTGCCAAAGACTGCCTTTTTCAAAATAATCCCCCTAGAGGACCTAGTAGCCACCACTCCTATCTTTTCTTCTCTCTCCTCATCCTCTGTGCTCTGATGAAAATCATATTGTATCTATAGAATATGTATATATATATATATATCTTAAAATGATTTCATACAAATCAGAAATATATATTTTTCATTATAGTGTTATATATATTCTCATCCCTGTCCTATGTTCATAGAATGAGAATGGTTCTTTCACATACTACATTTGCATTTACATTGAATTCATCCATGCTACCTAAAAAAAAATCCATTCACACTAATAGTGGTTTAATGGATTCCTTATAAGGATTGATTTGTGTTTTAAAAGAGGATCACTAGAAGAAGACAAATCTTAACACCTGTCTCCCCTGAAGGTTTTCAAGTCCTTAGATAAAAAAAAAAAAAAAAAAAAAAAAAAAAAAAAAAAAAACAAAACTAAAAATCAGCAACGAAAAGCCACTACAACCTATTCTCACAAACCACAGCCACTTGTATGTTAAGTCCTACAACCTAGTTAAGGTCTGCTTCTGTTTGATATCTCATGTCTGGGAGTGCCAGAGTCTATTCAAAGTCTTCTGGTACGAACAGAAAACAAGAACTTGTGTAGAAACTCACGTTTAAACAATGAGAATAGGACATTAACATTAAAAAATATAAAGAACAGGAGGTGGAATCGAGAAACTAGAGATACTTCAGAAAGGTCAAACACATGTTTGAGAACATGTTTGAAAATATGGAGAACAGGAGGTGGAATCCAGGGGCTTGAGATGCTTCAGAAAGGACAAACACACATTAGATCCTCTGTTTTGGTATGCCATTTCTTGTTATGCCATTGGTCCAGTTTTATAAGTAGGATCAGACTAGAAGACAGATCTGTGGTACAGAGAGCAAATCCAAGAGGCAGGAATCATCATGGTACCTCAGTCCAGCCCATATGTTCTTCAGGAGTGGGAACGGAGAGAGAACATTTGCTTGCAGGTTTCTGGAGGTTTTTGCCAGTGTGAGAAATTGTTTTATGCTATGCCAACTAAAAGTTTGATTCCTGGCAAAAAGTGATTACTTTTTCTTTAATTCTTAAAACTATTTCATGATTGTCTTTCAAGAATTG